CCCCTAACCCTAACCCTAACCCTAACCCTAACCCTAACCCTAACCCTAACCCTAACCCTAAACTTTTGACTAGCTGGGCTTCTTACATCTCAACGCCATCCCTTCGAACTCTGGCACGCTCGACCGAGTCCCACAATGGAAAATCAAACGCGTACATTTCATTTGACGCCGCAATCCCATCTTGCTCCACCCGGGGAGCGTTTTGTCCAGATTGGAAAATCCCTCTGACCATATTCCGATCCCCCCCTCTCCCGTCTATGCTACCTGCTTCCGGCTCCGGACTATTTTGCGAAGAAGGCGGCGCTTCCCGAAAAACTTTTCCGCTTCACAGCAACACGTGGCCCATTCCTTTCTTCCATGCGCTCTCCGCATCATGCGCAAGCTCCCCTGCGCTCGTCGAGGTCGACAGGGAAGAGGTCGAAGTCGTAGCTGTACCTTTGTTGCGAGGTTTGCCTGCTTCGGAACCTGATGCGCTGTAGCCGCTCAGAAAGCCCGAGCTAGATGGGGAGACGGACTTGCGCAGGGTCAAATGGGGCGTCGTCTTGAACTGTCGAATCGTGTGTTGCCATCTCGCCTTAGACCTGAGCGAAGTGCCACTCGCTCGGACAGGTGATGTAGTCGATGTTAGAACGGGGTTCGTGGCAGTCAAGGAGGTGCTCGCCCTATCCACATCGTCGAGGTAGCTCCAGTGCACAGCAGCAGCCTCTCGAGCTTTTGCACGAGCCACGCCTGACCGCGAATTGACGGGACCGATATATAAACGCGTCACTAGGCCATCCTACACACCTCAAATCGAGAAAGCTGACTCACGTCGGTCGGCCTTGCGCTGTACCGCCTGGATGTCCTGTCCGTGCGACGCAGAAACCTTTTTTTGAATCTTGGCCGGACGATCCCGACTCGTTTCCGAAGCAGAACTCTTTCGCGGCTCGGTGGGGTCCGGTGGAGCGCGCGCGCGCAGCTCAGTCCCAGCAATTGGTTGACCTTGCACCGAGCACGAAGAGATTGCAGCGATCAAGCACAAAGCGATGAATGGCGCACGCATTCCGGTCATGCGCGAGTGGTGAAAACACGACTAGAGGAGTGCGGTCGGTCGTCGCAGTCGAAATGGAAAGCTGCAAGTGCCAGACTTGTGTCGCGAATGGGTAGAGAAGCAAAGACAGGAAAGGAGAGGTCGTGAACCTGCCCTGACATTTCCTACCCTATTTGAGAGCATTGCCTGTTCTATCTGCCTTGGTCCAAGTCGCATGCCTGTGCCTAAGCAAACATTCCTTGGATAGGCTCATGGCTGCCACAACAGTGCATGGCGTGCCACTGCAAGCTTGAAGTGACTGACGAATTGGCAGCGAAATCAGCAGTTGGAGCCGTCAGCTGAGTGGCGTGACGAGGGGTTGCAAGTGGCGTTGGAGAAGTTTCGATGAGGTTCCTTGAGTTGATGCGGTGCCGAGTGGAACACTGTGCATGGCCACGAAGAGCGTTCGTGAGCAGCAAGAGTTCCAACGCCCCTTTTTCCATCGAGAGGGGTTGGCTGCAGGAAGACACTGCGAGGCGCAGACGGAATCGGAACTTAGCCGGCCGTCCCACCCGACAGCTCCCGCTCCGTCTGGGCGGTGAGGTACTGTGGGGTACTTCGTACGTGGGCCACGTCAAAGTCTCCGAGAATTTGAAAGTGCGGGCTTGTACGGTAAGCCTAGCTGTGAGTGACGCGATGAGCTGAGGCTGAGTCTCGCTCTGCGCTTCTCTGCAATGACCGCAGCTGCGTCGTGTGACTGCCAAGGTGATTGTGATTTAGCGGGGGGCAGTCAGCCGACGGCCCCGCACTGGGCCCTCGATCGGAAGGGCGCCCGAGTGTCTGCTGCTAGCGAGGACGTGTTTGCGGCGCAGCAGCCCCTATCGTCGCGGCGGTTCGAGGAATGTGGCGCAGGAGCGCGGCGAGGAGGAGATGTGCGTATGGCAAGTGAGGCACTTTGTCTCAGAGATCAACACTCTCGTTGCCCTGACGCCGCTTTGACGCCCATACATTTGCTTGGCCAATTGCTGCTGGCGTGGTGACCCGCGACGAGCAATGCAGCACCGATAGCCGTACCGGACGAGCTGTGCAAAGTTCTTCGATGTGGCAACGCACGCACGCCTGCGCAATGGCGAGCAGCTCGTGCCCGTGTGCGTATGAACCTTTGCTGCCTGATGCTGTCTCAGCGGACGATGAAGTGGATCGAGTGATAACTTCTTGCCATATCTGAAACATCCCGGCACATCTTCGCCCCTACATCCGCACATGTGCACCAACCACCAAGATTGTGCTGAGACACTTGCAAGTCAGACTTCGAAGGGCAGCAGCAGCAGCTTTGACTCGGTGCGTATCGAGCGGGTCGTCGCGTTGCTGCATCACCGATCTGCCACTCACGATTCGCGACTCACAACTGCGACTCACACGATAGCACGCCCATCGGAGGTGAGCATGCATGCAGGGCAGGGCAGGGCAGGGCAGGGCAGGTCTTGGCGAGTTCGGCGTCCATCAGCGCGCACTTCTTGCGACAAGCCTGCACTCGATCGTGACTGACTGACGCGCCTCGAACCGTGAGTGCCGCAGCAAGTCGCAGTAACAAGCAGCAGCAGGCTGGAAGCAATCATCACATCAGCTTTCGCGGCCGGGCACAATGAGAGCAGCCATCATAGTCGCGCTCTTCCTGATCGCCGTACTGCCGCCGCCATTCGCGCTGGTCGTACATGCACTTCCACTCATCAGACTCCCACCCTCGCAACTCACCAACCGACGAGTCTGGCCAGCAGGAGCGATGCTGTCCGCACGCGCCATCGGGACCGACAAGACGAGAGCAGCTGGACTCGGACTGGGGGATGAGCTTCAACTTGCGCATCGTCAAGAGCCGACGCAGTGGCATCTCTGCCAAGCCTATCCCGAAACACCGGCCTGCAAAGCGCAGCAGAAGAGTTTGAGTCGAGCGCTGCCGCATGATTCGATTCGCACGTGACTGGCACCGATGACGGATGGATATATGCCAACAAACAAGATGAACCACACACGGACGGCGTACGCGATGCGTATAGGGAGCAAAGAGGACCAACGAGACTCGATCACGACTCACGACTTGCTTGCTGGCATGCAAGGGCCGGCGCAGTGCGTGTGCGTGTGCGTGCAGCAGGGACCGAGGATGTCAAGAAGCGAGGATGCGAGGGCCACATGAATGACGGCGGGGAGGAAGCGCACGTATGGAGCTGATGGGGGCCTTCATTTGATTATGCCGCAAGCCGGATGGGAGTACATGACATGACGAATGGAGCGATGGGTTGATGAGAACGTCATTTACAACAACCCTCACCTCACATTCGAGCCCGTGTATGCATGCGCTGGCAAAAGCCGATGATGAATGTGTGCTCAGAGCACGGTCGAGCGAGTGCGAGTGAGACTGTGTAGCTTCGAGGTGCCTGCTGCTGCTGCTGCTGCTGCTGCTGCTGCTTAGCTGACGGGGTGCACCGAGGTAGAGTGACGAGTGTATGACTTGCTATCGAGTCACGAGTCACGAGTCACGAGTCACGAGTGTGCTATGAATCGCTTAGCGGTGTATAGTCAAACGAGTTCGGATGTGAGCGTACAGCGTTGCAAGTGTGTGGAAGCAGTTTCACGGTCGTCGGTGGCGAGTCAGTCAGTCACCTGAAGATGGTCTGAGTGAGCGAGCGCGCGCGCATCCACGTCTCCTCGAGCCGCCTGCAAATGCTGGGCCACGCCATGCCATGCCGACTTGCCGAGTGCGGAGAAGCGCAAGCCAAGCCACATCGATCGCGACTTGCGTGCATGCGCACCACGCACCCATCCATGCATGCAGAGACTCACACTCACACTCACACTCACGCTCGTCCAGTGCTATGCCTGCGGGTCAGTTAGTTCTGCATGCGGGAGAGGGGATGCAGCGAGCCTGTCAGCCTGCTTCCAGGCGCCCACCTTGTATGTACCGGTACCGGTACCGCATAGCTCGGACCTGCGCATGGGTGATGCAGCACAACAGCGCCTCCACAATCACCGACACTCGGTGCGGTGCGGTGCGGTGCGGTGCGGTGACTTGCGACTCTTGCTGCTGGGCAGGTGGATGGATTGGATGGATCGGTCTGTTATGAGTCTGAAGTGAATCTGAATGGATGATGAACGCTGCGCTGCGCATCGGTCAGGCGCACTCTGTCTCTCCACACACCCACACCCACACACACACACACACACACACACACACACACACCCACACACACACACACACACACACACACACACACACACTCTCTGAACGCCCGCACACACATCATGACGCCTACACCAGCACCACCACCAGTCGCCGCCGCCGGCTCGCACGGGCCGGACAGCGAAGCGCCATCCATTCCCACCCACCGCTTCGCCAAGCTCAACCCTTTCAAGCCATCGGACGATGAAGGAGGCGACGACTTGGGTCAAGAGGCCGATCTGGACCATCTAGCCGGTGGAGGTCGCGTGATCGGCAGCGCAGCAGACATCGATGAGCGCAAAAAGCTTCGCGTCAGTCATGCTCTTCGCTCCTTTTTGGCTCATCGCGCAAAGGAGATTGCAGAGTCGGACATTGGAGGAGGCGAAGAGGAGACGAGGCACTCGGTCGCTGTGCAGAATATCCTCGCTCGATCCCAGGTGCACCAACCGGCTTACGTCGTCGATCGCACGCACCCGCTCACCGAGTACTTTATCAGCAGCTCTCACAACACCTACCTCGTCTCCAAGCAGCTGTACGGCAAATCCGATGCCAACGCGTACAAGGCGCATCTGCAAGCTGGTGCTCGCTGCGTAGAGATCGATGCGTGGGATAATGATCAGAGTCCAGATGAACCCAAAGTGACGCACGGCTACACGCTCACCGCGCACGTCCCCTTCAGATCCGTGTGCAAAGCTATAGCGGAGCAGGTGGAAGCGGAGATTGCCGAGGCCAAGAATCGCAAGGAGCCGCTGCCTAATCCGGTGTTCATCAGCTTGGAGAATCACGCGGGGCCGGCGGGTCAAGAACGCATCTCTGCCATTCTGAAGGAAGAGCTGCGCGACAAGCTGATCACCGAGCCAGTCTCGCGCGGGCCAGACGGGCAGAGCGTTGCCACGCTAGGCGATCTGGGCGGCAAGGTGCTGGTGATGGTGGAGTGGTACGGTCATACGGATGCGGGAGATGTGGCTGCCATCACAGACGCCAAGGAAGAGGAGAGCAGCAGCAGCGATGAGGAGGAGCGGGCGTACAATGAGCGCAAGGCGAAAGCTCAGCAGTCCAAGATCGTGCCGGAGCTCGCTGCATTGGGCGTGTATGCGCAGAGGTGAGCGCAAGCAATGCCAGATGGATGAGTGATGCGAAGCTACTGACACTCGCCATCTTTCTCCCCGCCCCGCACGCAGCATGAAGCCGACCAGCAATGCCTGGGTGCAGGGCACATCCGACCCTTCCAGCACGCCTCACAATGCACTCGTCAATGTGGAAGAGCGAGCAGTGAAGAAGCTCATCTCGGAAGGCGCAAGCGATGGTCTCGTATCGCACAACGCTAGCAACCTGATGCGCATCTATCCCAAAGGACTCAGGATCAGTGAGCAGGGGCAGCAAAAAAGCTTGCTGAACCCTGATTCGCTTGTTGCAAGACTGACTTTTTCACACTCCCTCGCTTCGGACCCAGATTCCTCGAACCTCAATCCCGTTCCCTTTTGGGGCGTCGGAGCGCAAGTGTGCGCTCTGAACATGCAGACCTTTGACTACGCAGCTGGACTCAATGAAGCCATGTTCGCGAACACTGACGGCTGGGTGAGCATCGCATCGCATCGCATCGATCGATACAGGGCAGTGTAGCTCGCAAAAGGTGCTGACCGTCTGCCTGTCCTCTTTACCCTCTACAGGTACTCAAACCGCCGCATCTCCGCAGACAACCCGGGCCAAAGCCTAGCGGCAAAGTACAGCTGCGTCTAGAGATTGCTGGAGCGACCGATCTACCCGTTCCCGACGATCGCGAAAAGGACATCAAGGTGCGTATAGGTTTACAGAAGCGCTCTCTCTCGCGCTAGCTCTCTGAACCCTCCCACCTCCCCCTCCCCGCGCCTTCTTTTTCCTCTCCTTCACCCATCTAGCCATACGTCACGTGCAGTCTATACCATCCTCAAGCCACCGGCTCGCCAGAAAAGCGCAAGACGAGCCACTATCGACCTCACAAGCACAAGCAGCTCTTTGGCAAGGAGCAGCCACCTGCCACCAGTCCCATTTGGGATCCTCCCGAGCAGCTCGAATGGCAATTCGACAACGACGACTTGACCTTTTTGCGTATCCTCATCAAGAGCGACGGTGAGTGTGCTAGAAGACGAGGCTTTGTCATGCGTGCGCAGGAGAGAGAGAGAAACAGGCGCACGCTCGCGCTGATTCCCCGCAAAACCCTCTCTCTTCCACCCTCCACCCCCAAACACCCCCCACCCCTCACCGTAGACGCCTTTGCTCGCAACCCGGCCTTCTTGACCACCTCGATCAGACTGACTTCTGCGCCAAACGGCCAGTGGACCTTTTTCCGCCTGCTCAATCTGCGAGGTGTGCCAACAGCAGCCACGCTCCTAGCGCGCTTCACCCTCCGACAAGTCTGAAGATCTGCTCGCCCTTGTCATCTGCCTGCTCCCCTTTATGCTCGCTCTCTGGTCCACGCTTGTCGTGCACGAAATCTTTATCTGATGCGCTCGACTTGGCCCTCATATGCCTGCTCTATGCGTCTCTCCTCTCTCTCTCTCTCTCTCGCACCGATCGTGATCGAAGGGAGATTTGTGACATCCGTATGGTCTAATTAGCCTCGTGTGGAGCTGCTCCGTATCTTTGACATGGAGGATCCGAGAGTCTACGTCCTCTTGCATTCCTTCATCATCAGCCCAGCACGGCAGACCAGTTGTGCGTGGTGCCCTTGGTTGCGCCGCTGGGGTACCGCTTGCCCGAAGGAGGCTCGTAGGCCCGGGGAGGGGGGAAGGAAGAGGAAGGCTGAAACGTAACGTTGCCCGACTGCAAAGGGGGCGAAGGAGCTGCAGAGAAGAGCAGAGAACGACGAGCAGGTCGAGTCAGCAAGCGATCAATCAATCGACAAGAGTCTCGCGAGAATGGAGCACCCACCTCGGCCTGCTGCTGCTCCGTTGCTTGCTCGAGCGGCTGCGACTGGTGACCTTGATGGTGCAGATGTCGGAGGAGGGGGCGGAGCTCCCAAGCGCGAGCTCGCTGGACTAGGAGCAGAAGGTGGAGGCGGCGGAGCCGAAGGTGGAGCGGCAGGTGCTCTATTTGGGGTTGGAGGGGCTCTTGGTGGAGGAGGCACTCTTCCTGGTGGAGCGGCAGGTGGGGCGGGCGGGGGTGCAGAGTGCCCAGCGCTGGGTCTGGAGGGAGGAGCGGGTGGTGGAGCGCTTCGTCCAGGTGGTGGTGGAGGAGGAGGAGGCGCTGACGGCGCTGCCGCAGTGTGTCGAGATGGGGGTGGAGGAACGCCTCGCGGTGGTGTGGCTGCGGGTCTTGCGGGTGGAGGAGGGACCGATCTATTCGGAGCGCTGCTTGAACCTGGCGGCGGCGGCGGTGGTGGTGGTGGTGGTGCAGATGGTGCGCCAGCCGCAGGTCGAGAAGGTGGTGGTGGTACCCCCCTGGACGGCAAGCTGGGGGCAGAGACAGCAGCAGCGACTGCAGGAGGCGGTGGAGGAGGCGGTGGAGCAGCAGCAGCAGCAGGTCGTGAGGGCGGCGGTGGCAGCCTTGCAGGTGCAGAAGGAGCAGCTACTGCAGGCCTTCCAGGGGGCGGAGGCGCAGCAGCAGAAGGCGGGGGCGGTGCTCGACCTGGAAGGGATGGTGGTGCTGGTCTCGAGCTACCATTTGCTGCGGTGGGTGGTGGAGGAGGAGGTGGTGGAGGAGCACCGCCAGGGCGTGGAGGAGTGCGAGAGGGCAAGGATGGAGCTGCGGCTGTTGGTGGGACGGGCCTATTGGCTGGAGGTGCAGGAGGTGCGACTACAGACGATGTGAAGACACGGAAGGCGAGTGCGAGGTCAGTGAAGATCGAGGAGAGTGAGTGCGACCTGCCATGTGAGGCTCAGGCTCAGGCTCAGGCTCAGGCTCACCAGCAGGACGTGTGGGAGGAGGTGCACCTGGACCGCCCGAAGGTTTCAACTTGGGCATACCTCCAGCGAACAGCCCGCCCAAGCCGGGCGGGCCTGCGGGAGCTCCGGCGCTTCCCGGTACCGGCGGGGCCGGTGGCCTGCCCAGACTGCCACCACCACCGCCACCGCCGCCACCCGCTCCCGCTCCCGCAGATGCGCCTACACTTGGGCCTGAGCGATCATTGGTCTGAACCTCTGCGTGGTGTGAGGCGGAAGAGGAGGAGCGGGGGTTAGTGCGACCGGACCAGCCCATGCAGCTGTTCGAGGCGAGACGTGGACGCTGAAAACGACGTGCACAGGTCGCAGCACTCACTCTTCAGTCCCTTGCCTTTCTTGATGGCCTCCTGAAGTGCGCCATCCATGATGTCAAGGGGCCGATGCTGAACGCGTGATGACCTAGGATTCGAGCTCGAGTTCGAGTTCGAGCAAAGGTACCCGAGCGACCAGCTGACTGGGGTCCGGGGTCCGGGGTCCAGAGCTGTGGCGTGCAAGGACGAGGATGGATGGATGGATGGATGGATGGATGGATGTGGGCGACGAGGTCTGTGCGTTGGAATCGAGATGCGCCTAGGATGCGCAATGAATGGATGTGGAGCGTCACGAGTCGTGAGTGTCGAGTGTTGAGTGCGGCCAGAAGGAGTCAGAAGCAGCACGGTCAGCATGTATACATGTATACACGCACAGCCTCTCACCGCGGTGGCTCAGCTCCGGCTCGACTCGATTCATGATTCGATTCATCAAGTCATGAGTCTTGAGTTGGACGCTCAGGCTGCTGAGCGATGAGACGAGCACGTGATGACGCGATAAGCGCGCGCCTGCTGGGTGTGCGTGTGCTGCGTGCTGCGTGCTGCGTGCTGCGTGCTGGGAGGTCGTTCACGCGCAAAGGCCGCTCCGCGATCGAACGACGATCTAGCTCCGCCATGCATCATCAGCATCAGCAGCACCGCGACTTCAACACGCGCGCATGCACGCGGCATATAATCACGTGAATCCACACATGCATCTCTACGCGTGCGTGACTCGTGAGTATTGTGACATTCAATCATGAATTCAGATTCAAGATTTGGGAGTCACAGTTTGAGTCACAATCACAGTCACAGTCACAGTCAAGAGTCGGCGCTTTACATCTAAAGTGACGTCCCCGCCTCCAAAAAGGTTTCTTCTTCGATGCGCGGTGCACGATGCGCGATGCGCTCTGCCACGATACACACCAACATCAGCTCGCTCCACGCATACGCACTACATCATGGACTTTAGCTCCGTGCCCAGATCCGGCGGAGCCAAGTACGGAGGAAGCGCAAGGAAGAGGGCTCGACTGTCCACCACCACCACCACCCGCGTCGACGATCCCCTCACTCCGACGCTATCCCGCTCAGGTCGCACCAGCAGCAGCATCGATAAGCGGTCGCTTAGGCATACAGACAGGAACGATCGTGCGACATCTCCCGACGAGGAGGAGGAGGAGGAGGATCCGCAAGGCGGTGTTGATGCGCATCCGTCGCCCTCTGCACGTCGAAAGCTTGCGTCTGCCTCTTCACCTGCTGCTTCGAGCAAGCATGCGCTGGATCTGCTCTACGACGAGTCCAGCCTGACTCGCCATACCGTTAGTCGCCTCTCGGATAGACTCGGCTCCAGTCGCTCTCGCCCGACACTCCATCGCCACTCATCATCACTACAGCGCATGCCCAATGCCGCTTCTGAGTCGGAGTCGGCCCCCCCAGCAAGGCGATATGATCAAGCACGGCAGCGTCAGCCTTCTCTACAGCTGTCGTCAGAACGAGATGAAAGCGTCGTAGGCGATGCGCACGAGGCGCACCACCAGTTGCGCCAGCCTACAGCAACTCTTCTGCCGCAGCCGCATACGCGCAGCCCTGCTAGGCGAATGGCCCAGATCCCCACAACATCGCTGATGCATCTTCACTCGCCTACGCCCGCCCCCTCGTCGAGCGCACAAAGCGCTGTTGGCGCAGTGCTCTCCAGTCCTAGCACAACGAACAAAGCACGTGACGGCGCCTTTGCAATGGAGGTAGATGCTTTGCTGGATGCCACGGCTAGTAGGAGTAGCGCGCCTGTCCCTGCAACCCAACGCAAGAGTCTCGCTTCCAGGATGGCTCCTCGCAAAGCGGCAAACGCTGGTCTAGACTCGATGCTGAGCACAGAGTCGCAGCCGCTGCCACCAGTAGGCTCGCAAGATGAAAGCATGGACGCATACCCGCACTCTGTGTGGAGGAACGCAGAGTCTCAACCAGTCGTCGCTCTGTCGCGCTCTCCATCTCCATGCTTGGAGCGACCTAGCGCTTCGCAGTCCAGTCCAAGCTCTACGCACACTTCGCCCGCCAAGTCCGCGCTGGCTCAGAGGAAACGCGCTCTGGGAGTGTCGGGAGTCGGTGCGAGAAGGACTTATGCGGCTTCGAGGAGCTTCTTGGCGGAGGCCGACCCCGCCTTTTTGCCTCCGGATGCTGAGCTCGATCTCAACTCTGGTGTAGGTGACGCGGGTCAGCAATCGGCCACCTCACCACAGCGAGAGGCACCGAGCACCAGCAGAGGCTTTCTTGCTCGTCACAATCTAGCTGTTCGCGCATCATACAAGGAGTTGAAGGCCAAATTTGCAGAGGGTGATGAGGAGGAGGAGGAGGAGGATGGTCCAGACGCTCCACGCAGATCGGTGAGTGCATGCATGCGCTGGATGCGGCACATATCGAGGACACAGCAGGATTTGGTTCTGTCGACTCATCTGTATCGCTGCGTGCTCCCGCACAGCTGGCGCTTCGCTCCGTCACCAACCTCCGCTCAGCGGGTGAGCAGAGGCGCTTCGACGATGAACTCGAGTACCTACTTTCAGGCCTGGACGCCAGTCAGCCACTCTCGCTTCGGCGCACTTCATGCATGGACATCATCAAGCGGATATGCACGAAAGAGGCAGCAGTCAAGAACGGCTTCTTGCGAGGCTTGCTCGCACACTCTGATCAGGCTCGCAATGGCATCGTCCGGCTCTGGGATTGCTTCCGCAGCGCTCGGGTGGAGAGCATCACTGACGTCATCTTGTTGATGCACCTTGCTAGAGCCAGCGAGACCCATGCGCTTGCCAATGCGCTGTTGACTACTCGCTCAGAAGAGATCACGGCCCTACTGCGCCGTGGGTTGGACCCCGCAGGACGAGGAGACGGATCTGCTGATCCCTTCGATAAGCGCGGCCCGAACGGAGACTTGGTGAGAGGGATCAATTACGCAGTGCGAGGATGCTGCTCTCAGTTGCTAAGTCTTTTTGCGCTACATTCCCTCAGACCGCGCTCGCAGATGGAATACGAGATTCCAGGATCATCTCGTCTCGCGAAATGAGCCTCAGCCTACGCAATCTCACTCTCTGCGTCATCATTCGCATCTGCGCACTGCCTCTTCGACCAGGCTTTGTGCCATATGCAGCGCTCCTCGAGGAGGAAACCGACACGAATGGACCAAGCCCTGTTCGCATGATTGTCGCTTGCCTCCGCCATGAAGCAGTAAAATGCCGCACGCGCCTGCAAGCCGCCTCAAGAGGCGTTGTGAGTGGATCCCAGCTCACGCTGCTTGTCGCACTGAACGTAACTCATCCATGCTTTGCAATTTTTTTTCCACAGGACATTTTCTCGGCGAGGGAATCTTCTAGTCAGCGGCCGGATATTCCATTCGTCTGCCAAGCGCTTTTCCTCCTCGTTCGCGTGACGGAGCACGATGAGCAAGCGATTTGCCCGACGGATGAACGACGGGACATCGCAGAGCTCGTGCGCGACTTGTCCGCGCTGTTGTGCTTCCTGGAGTTGGCAGTGGCAAAGCAGAGCACGGCTGCTCCTGCGTCGCCCGTGAAGATGACGCGCTCGCAGTCTCAAAGCCCTTCGAAACTTGCGCACGCATCGCCCCACCGGCTTGAAGTCACTTCAGCTGAGGCTGTCATCCATCTATTGGGTCTGCTTAACCATCTCTGCGAGCAGCAACGAGACGTAGGGCACGGCGAATGGGTGAAAGCGGTCGCTTCAGCCTCCTGTTTCGTCATTCCGCTGCTGAGACTGATACTCGGCGTGCCTGCTTTCTTGAGATCTCAACGTGCCCAGATCAGCATGGGAAAATCGAATTCGCCAGACTCGGATGATCACTCAGATTGCAGCTCAACCCCTCCGTCGCACATTCCAAAGGCGGTGGAAGCGGCCTTGCTGCAAGATCTTGTTGGTGCGGCGCTGGGACTTCTCATCACCCTACTGGAATCGGCACCAGAGTTGATGCGTCACAATCTCGCCGGCACACTCATCAGCCTCTCCTGCGACCGGCGCAAATGCGTCGAAAGGTGCAGGTGCGAGAGAAGGTGGCAACAGCCTGCCATCGAGCTGCTCGCTCGGCTTTTCTTGACGGAGCGCCGCGCTCTGCACAGCGACGCTGCCTTTGAGAAAGACGAGGAAAATGATCAGCAGCAGTGGCGAGCTGAACACTCAAAGGATCACGATGATGCTTCGGCTGCCGGAGCTTCCTTCCTGTCTGGGTGCATAGCCGTTGCTCTCTCCTTGAGTGTCGTCGGCCATCCCTCCAATTTGGCTTCTCTGCTACGCGGACTCGGCTCGAGCGGTGTGACTTCATCTAGAAGCCCTGCAGAGGGCTTCACGCCAAGCTCTGCGCTTGAACCTCTGATTTCCAGTCTGGAAGATTTCGCCCACTGGAACGACGCGGTGCAGCGCAGAGCTCTAGCGGAAGTCATCGCTGATGAAGAAGAGGACCCTACGGATGTTGACGACGCACGACAACCCCAGGAACACTCTGGTCAGTTTCGCGGACCGGCCGGGCCAGATGCTGAGAGTCAGTTCCTGTGGGAGCGTGTCGAAGACATGCGAAAGGTTTCTGCATCTAATTCGTCGCAATAGATGCAGTCCAGCCTTGCCATGGACGCAATATTTTTATGGTGTCACTCTCGCCACGTCATCCCATTTCGACCTCGAGCGATGTGTTGGTGCGCCGGTCTGCCCGGTCTGCCGGCCAACGAGTGGCAAAATTCGGTAAGCTTGCTTGCAACCGGCGTGAGACTGTTTCGCAAAACACGAGGACGCTCGCGTTTCGAGGCGATGGGTCCCGAGAAGAGGCCCGAGTCCAATTTCCGAAGCGCATGCCCCAGAAAAGTTTGCCGATTTGCCACATTGACTCCGCCCTCGAGCGCTGCGCTGACGAGACGACCTCGATGTTTATCGCTCGGCGCAAGAGACGACGTGAGGGGCAAATTCGTGTGCATTTTCCTGGCTCTCGGCGACAGTCTGACGCACCTGATTTGGTGGGACTTTGGGTCCCTCAATATCTTGGTCACTGATTCACAGGCGACTGCGACGCATCAACTTGCCAGGCATGGCACAGGCAGAGCATGTCGCTCGAAATGCTTCGAGTCATAAAGCAAGCTTTTTGGCGCTCGTCGGGACGCCAATCGTCGTCTACTTTTGTCCTTCGCCTTTGTGCTAGAGGCTCATCGTCGCTTTTCCCTCGCAGCTACACCATCATTCCCGGTTACATTTCATCCACACGACAGCGTCGACATGGCTGTGAAGTTGCGAGCATTATTCATGCTTGCCGCCACTTTGCAAATGGTAGCGAGCGCTCCTAGTGGCTCACCGACGAGCAACGAAAGCAGTACTCCTCGCCTTTTATTTCCCATTGACGGTGAGTTCAATTTCGAGTATGGCGCAGAACGAGACTCTGAGTAAAAGTAGGTGATCATCCTGCAGAGCATCCAATGGTAGGATCTGAGAGCGGAAAGACTTCGCCCCACTCGCCCGTTCATTCATGGCCAACACGCCCGAATACGCCACCTAGTCCTGATTACAAGAACGATCCAAAGTTCAACCTCATGCTTCAAGGCAGTGACAGCGACAGAGAGCACTGGTCTGACGAGGAACAGCGCCAGGCGCACGCCAAACAGATTCGCGGCGAAAGCCTTGCCGGTCCGCTCTCTCCGACCTCTGCTAGCAAGGCGCGCAACTCGATCATGGCCCTGCACTTGGCTAAAGATCCAGAGCATGCGCATGAGCGTGCAATGCGCGAATACGCTGCCTTGGATGACGCCGAAAAAGGGCGGAGGCTGGAGAGTTGGCTTGCACAAAGCGACTGTGAGTAGGAGTGTCGAGTGATCGTGCTACCGCCATCCAGCTGCTATTGAGCATTCAGACCTTGCACTGACGAATCGTCGTTTCGTTCTTAGACATAAAGGCCCACAGGCAGCCGGGCTTCCAGTTGGGTCCCTTGCCCCACAAACCAGGATCATTGGAGTACTGGCAAGAGCAGAACAAAGGTGAGCATCGGTAGCCTTTTACGACTTCGTCCAGGACCTTGCTGTCTGGTAGTGGCTTAATGTGCAAGCGTCGTCTTTCCAGATCTAGCTCCGGGCCAGAAGCCAATTGGCACTTGGACCCATACGCACCTGCAACGAGATCGGAATTTCACTCCCGAGGAGAGAGCTGCATACGTCCCTCCCCCGCGCTCGCCAGGCTATGAGCGCTTCCAGGAAGAGCTTGATCAGCGATTCGACGCGAGGATCGCTGCCGGTCGTAGCAGCTCCTCTTCAAGCCAAAGCCATCGTGGCTCCGACAGCCCTCCGCTTCCTGAAGAGGTCGATGAAGCAAGACCGAAAGGCTGCTGCGGATGGGTAAAGAAACTATTGAGTCGTCCTTGAGCACAAACAAAGAAGAAAACCCCATTCCTTGAGCCCAAAGTTCGGCAATGAGAGGTCTATGTTTGCGCTGAGCCTCGAGGCCACGCGAGCTTTGTCACGAGATGAGGCGGAGTGCAGAGACTTCTTTGCATACATCCACTATGACTGCGGTGTTCTTGACGCTGTTAACTTGAATTGACCGACGCATGCCTTCGTGCTTTACCACTGTTATGCGAATGTGATGTAAATGGTGCTTGTTCAGCGACATGGCTTGTTAAGCGCGATGCTCGTGAGGATCTGGAGCAACGCTTCAGAATAACGGCCGAAAAGCTCTCTGACTCAACTCGAGACCATCAAAATCACCAATGTGGCGCACACATCAAAGCTTTCTGACGAAAGCACAATGTCCACATCACAGGCGGAAGCATGCAGCAGACGGCCACACGGTCGCTTCCGGTGTCGGTGTCGGTCTCAAGGAGCACAAAGCCGTCGTGTCGGTGGCGACGACACTGCCATTGACGTCAATCACATTGCATGGTCGGCCAGGATTGCTCAAAGCTGCTCTAAACACACCAGAGACAGTTCAGAACATGATGTTTCACTTGGGACTGGTTGCCACCTGTGGCAAGAGACGCGATGCAGAACCGGGTGACTTCTCGTGAGCTTTTAAAGGAGACGCATATCGTCCAAAGCGACCTCTGAGAGTTCCAGAACACTGGCGTCACTGATTTCGTGGGGCTCGACCTCCGCATTCACTGTTCATAACACGCTTGCTTTCCTCGATTTGCAACAAAATCTCTGAAGCCATCATGCTTGCAAATCGATCGCTCTGCATAGTCTTGCTCGCGGCCATCATGACCAGTGCGTGGCCCATGTACGATGGCACTAGCGGCCGATACCAGCTCGGCTCCGGGAGCCAAGGAGTATGGGAGCATGACGATGGAGGCGCAGCCGAGGCGTACGAAAAGTATGTTGCGGCGCCTAAACGTCAGAGACGACGGCAGGCACAAATACGAGAGATTGAGAGAAGTGAGTGGTGCGGGCTCTCGATACATTTGAAAAGTAGCTGAGATGCCCTGTGCGACACAGGTAAGATGCAAGACCATATGTCAAGCAGCCCGAGGCAGCATGTTGACAGACGTGGTGCTACGGTCAGCCGCGTTCTTTCGGAGCCAAGTGCCCTCTGGAGCAGGCCACTCCGTCGCCCGCCATCACCACCTCAGTCCTGGATCGAGGAAGTGCCTCTGGCCGACGAGCACGGGTCTAGCTCGGGAGGTGGAACACGCTTCCAGCGTATGCGCACCAACAAGCACGGAATTTATGTTCCCTACGCCTCCATTTCTGAGATCGAGGAGCTGCCCACAGCTTCGAGGCAAAGCGCCAGCGCCAGCGCTCCGGACAGGAGCCGAAGCAGCAGTCCTGATATTTTGAGCCGTCTTGAGGATCAAGGTTCGCCAGTCCCAAAGGGTTGGATGACGAAGCTTTTCGGACCTTCAAAGGTGATCAAGTAGAGCTTACACCACCTCCAATAACCTCCAAACGGCGTCGTGCGCTTCGTGTACGGCCAGACTGAATATGGCTAGACCTTGCGGCAGACTTGGCTGCGTTTGATCTTATACATCGGCACTGGCGAGAGTGAAGTTCAAACCCGTCTGTGCTTTCTTGCTGCCTGTGGCCGTCAAGCGGAGCCAATGGGCAGTACTGTGAGCGTCGCTGACTAGAGCAGCAGCAAAGAAGGGTTGGAGTGCAGCCATTGCGATGCCCGTCACCTTCTCCTCGGCTGTGTAACGTCGCCCAGTCAACGATGCCGTTTGGCGTCGACACTTGCCGCTGCCGCCACTCGGATGAGAGGCGCTCGCGAGTGCCGAGCCGACGTGCGCGTCGAGCGTCGGACCGCACGCAAGCACAGCGTGAACCGTTCAGAATCTCACTACGCCCCTCTTGGCAGAACAAGCTGCGGCGCACACGCAAGGTCGAAGTTGAAGCTTTCAAATTATTTTTACAACGCCCTCTTGCGCCCTCGACGGGGGCGCAAGAGCGGACAGCTTCAGCGGTCGTCTTGAGTGCTTGATTCGTAGATTGTGTCCGCTGTCGTATAAGGATGGGGCCCGACGTTGCGTTCGAGTGAATGTCCATCCTCTTGATTCGTCTATCCTTCCCTACGTCTTCTTGCCTTTTCGTCGAGTGTCTTCACCATTAGGCTGGTCCTAAACGAATCTGTCTTCTGTACAATGATCGCCCGAGCTCACCTCCTGCTTCAACGAGTGGCACTCGTTGCCCTAATACTGCAAGGAGCACACTTCGCCACCGTCGACGCGCGCGACAGCAAGAGAGCCGACGACCATCCTCTCGGTACACCGAGCGGCGTAGATGCGCACCTCGACGGACACGCCAATCCATTCCTGCCACAAGTCTTTGTGCCGCCAGAGGAAGACTTGCCAACCGCTGCTCCGCAGGCCCACGTGCGCGGTCAGTTCCAACGACCTCTGCGCCGCCCGAATGGACAGCTTGATCAGGAGGAACGTGCTGGCGGAGTGGCAGCTCGTCGCCCAAGCACCACTGGCCCTGACGACGGAGACGTAGGCCACAATGACAATACTCGCGCTGCAGCGCGCCAAGGGCAAGCCCAAAATGCGCAGATTGTTGTTCCACCAGGTCGCAGAGCTCGGATGGTCCAGGCGGTCGGAACCAGAGGCGGGCGAATGCGACATCAGTACACGAGAGCGGATAGGTACGCTCAGTCACCGGTACGTGAGTACGAGCACGACGAGGAATTTCGCATGTTGTGCAGGATTAGTGGAGCCCATAAAGTCCAAATCGTCGTCTCTGCTGATGCACTTCCGTGCGCGATTACGTAGCGGATCCGATGGTGAGGACACTACGACGCGCTGGATATCACTACTCTGAGATAGACGAAATCATGAGGGACCTGCCCGCACGACGAGCGGCACGTCGACGCATGCGCTCCCCATCTCCAGAGCAGCCTGCAATCAGGCGCATGGACGAGACTCTTCTGCACGACCTTCGGAACCTCGCTCGACGTCCGTGAAGTAGCACGAGGAGAGAAGCTTCGCCGGCAGGCGCACTTGCACTGACGACAGGCTCGCTGTGGAGAGCCCGGCGAGGGCGGCAAAGGGCAGCACGACGAGCTCGGCACCATCGATAGGGCGCAGCGATGTGAGCACCGGCTCAAGAACGAGCAGAAGATATGCAGATGAAGCGTGTTCCAATTGCAATGGTCATGTGATATCAGAATCATTCACGTGCCGGCCTGGCCGGTCATCCCATGCACGAAAACGTCTTGCTGTGTATACGTTCCTTTCCTGCGAGTCTGCCCTGGACATTGGGGTGGCGCGACTCAGAATTTGCTAGTGCTGTCGTGGCAGATTACCATGGCGACCAATGCTGCGATCTACCACCAAACACCAGGCCGGGCGTGAGACGTCGACGCCGCGCTGACTCTGTGACAGCGCCTCGTCGACGTCGCCCTCTACATATGCGGGTTGGTGGCAAGGTAGCATGGAGACGTGAAGCTGCAAATTGGTGGCGAGGGTGGCGAGAGGGCTAGGCAACGAGGCGCGAAGGTGACCAAATCCCCTACTCGAGGGTCGTTTTGGCACAATGGCTGCAAAGCCGTTGGGACTCTTGACTGTTCCTGAACCTTGACAAGTCGCGTGTGTGTCAGATTTACTTCCGCACGATCTTTCTAAGCTTGCAGAGCTATGACGACTGTGCCGAGGCTATGTAATTCAGCGCAACGATGGGCAGCCTGGCGAAACCGTCGTGGCGCTGATGGCGGCGTCGAGTCGCAAACTGCGCCACCCGTCTCTTTGCCACTTTGAAAGCCGCAAGTCTCGCATGTCTACTGCCCCGCCCATGTTTGGAACGGCAGATCTGTAAGGTCAGACGACCGATGCGTGTAGTTTGCGGCTCGCTGTCGTGGCGAAGCTATCGTTCGAGTGTGTTGTCAATGAACTAAGAGATGAGTCGGCCAGGACGTTCAGCCTGTGAAAGGAAGCGCATCCGCCACGATGTGAATGCTCTTGGCCGCGCAATCGCCTTTTGCCACCTTTGAAGAAGGGCAACAGATGCTACGAGAGTTGGTATACAATCTCCATCGTCTTTCTTCGTCGCATCAGCGCTTGTTCTTCTTGCTTTGGAATTTCCCAAAAAGGCTTGAACACTCTTCGCATCAGTCAAGCCTACCTCCAACAGTAGAATGACGCAGCTGAAGACGGTGCACATGCTTCGCTTCATGGTGCTGGCCGCCATGGTGGGCAAAATCATCTGCGTCGGAATGCGCCTTAACAACATCGAGGAGCTAAGTGAGCCATTGCGCACGAATCTTGACGACGAGCCGCTCAGAAGTCCAAGTCGAAGTCCAGACGCTTCGCTTCTATCGACCCCGACCGCGAGGCCGCAACGCAGTCCAAGCCCGCATCCAACTGACACGTCCGAACGTGGGTTGGCACGCCAAGACTCTTCTGCTTCTCCGAGATTCCATTCACCGCTCTACTCGGATACGAACGCGTCTCGTCCAACGTTTAGAGAGATCAATCGAATGCAGAGGCAAAGAGAACGGCTGGAACATGCTCGCGCTCGTGCTGGGGCGAGGCAGACGACCACACCCACGACCGACGAATCGACTGCAACGTCTCGCCGTCGCAGACGACCGTTACCAAACGGCCCTTACGGCGCGGTACGTGTGCGCACGCCATCCCGGGCTCCTGACGCTACAATTACGGAGCACCAGGAAAGGACGCAGCTAGCGACTACGCCGACGCAAAGTAGGCACGCTCTCTACCGTGAGCACCATGAAAGACTACGTCGAGCCCAGTATCAAGCCCAGCACGAAGCTAGCTTTTCGAGTGAGTATCCAGGCCGGCGGTTCATAGCTGCCCGAATGCCGTCGCATCGGCTCTTGGATTGCTGCTGACGCACGCGCTCTTTCTGATCCTGGAAAAGACCACGAAAGCGAGGTACATGGGGTGGATGTGGATCAACGCATAATCCAAACGATGCGCCAACAAGGCCGCCCTGAGGAGCAAATTCGGCTGTTGCAGCAGAGCCTGCGCGAGCGTCGGGCCAAGTGGCCCTACACCGGCACGGGGTCCAGCCATGAACCAGCGCCAGCGGCATGAAGCTCGTTTAGCCTTGCACTGGGCACATGGGTATGTCGACATTGGTGCTCACTGCGCGGCAAAAGAGTCGGGTTGTGGAGGGCCCAAAGTGGAAGCAAATGGCGCGCATCTAGAAGATGGTGCGTCGCTTGCCGAGTCCAGGTGCTCCTCCAGCAGGCGCATAATGCCCAGGTCGCTCCCTCATGGCCCTGTACCTGTGCGCAGCCTCCCTCAGATGATGAGGTGCCAATGCCACGTTGTCTTTGCCTTGGTCATCGGTCGTGTGTGTCATCGTAGATCGTGCGGTGGCTGGCTCCCGATTAGCGCCCTCCGCTTGCCGGTTCTCTTCAGACAACCGAACCCACTCCTCGTCTCTACTGGCAATATCGCGAGCCAGCTCGACGATCTCGCCTACAAAGATCTTGCCTGCTCCTGCAAAGATCGTGGCTATCTGGTCAGATACGGATTGTTGAAGGATGTGATTGACCAGCTGGATCAGAGAGAGGGCAAGTACACAGAGTGAAGCTAGTCAGCCATGATGAGCAGCTACAAGCTCCAACTCGATTCTCCAACTCACGCGCTTCATGTTTGGTCGACTGATGGCTGTTCGGCTGTACGCCTCAAATCGGTCCAGCTGCTCGGCCGTCATGTTCTGCATCATCGCTCTGTACACAAACCCATCGCCAGTCAGCGAGCGCCTCTTGAGGCATTCTCAGGTGCTACAGGGCCCTCCTATGAACTCACCCGAGGACGGTCTTTCTAGCTTCGCTCAGCTCAGCTTGTTTCTGAGCTTCCTCCTGCACCAGTCCCGCATCTTCCTCCTCCTCGTCCTCCTCTTCTTCCAGATCGTCCACCACCTCCTCTTCATCTTCTTGCGCCGCCGTCGCGTTCGTGCCCGCATGTACGCCACCACCAGCTGCGCCTCCCTCTCTCGTAGCTCCTGCAGCAGCCGTACTGGCCTCTCTTTCTCGTTGAGCTCGAACGTCGCTGGCTTTGGGCCGTCTGAATGCGGCGGCTATAGTGTATGCTGAAGCGTGTGCTGAGCCAGCAGCACCACCCATCCTAGCAGCATCCAACGCGGAAGGCAACGACAACCCTGCTCCTGCTCCTGCTCCTGCTCCTGCTTCTGCCCCTGCTCCTGCTGCACCGTCCACACCTCCCTTGCTCTTGCGCTGTTGCTTCTTTCTCCCTCCTTTCGTTGTGCTGCCATCTTTCCGCTTGCTGGCAGCTTTGGAAGGAGTGCCCATCGCCGACTCCGCATCCAACCCCACCTCTTCCGCATCCACATCCACATCCACATCCATCATATCATCCATATCCACATTGTTCGCATCACCATCATCTGCTCGAAATGCGCTTTTGCGCTTCTTGGATGTCGATTCAGTCTCGCCATTTTTTGATCTTCGAGGTTTTTTGAGCTTGGGCCTGGGAAGCTGGGGTGCGGCAGATGTAGAGGCTGGCGCTGCAGAGGTGGACACGTTGGCTGAAGTTGAGGCGGCTGGCGCGCTGGCGAGGCCGGGCTGACCTACGAGCCACGGAGCTGCAGCTGCTGCTTGATCCTCTTGAGATGTCCAAGGTGCAGAGGTGCCAGTGTCGGCGTCGATGAGAGCCGCTTGAGATGCTGTCAGTGTGGCCGATATCGAGGCGAGGTTGGAGGTGCTTGGCTGATCGCCTTCCAGGGAGAAGCCAAATGTGGGGAAAGCCGAATCCATGTTTGTGTTCGATGTGCTGCGTCGGTGAGGGAGTAGAGCAGAGCCTTGTGGAGGGGAGGGGCAAATCCGATCCCATGCGCTAGTGTTGGTCAGGATGACGGCAGCTGGGTGAGAAGGCGATGACCATTACGTGAGTCAAATGTGAATGTGAATGTGAATGTGAATGTGAATGTGAATGTATGCATGCAGGCAGCATCTCCAAGTGATCAAGCGATCGAGCGTTGCGTGCGCGCGCGCGCGCGCGATGACCATCATGCACATGACCGCCCGTCCGCGTGCGCGCGCGCGCGGTGTTGTGAACGCGATTCACGTGGTAGGCATCCATCCATCCATTCGGCATCCGCGCTCGCTCGTGACTACTTCCAACCTCCCTGACGTGCCTCTACGACCACGCGCTTGCCCGGTGCAGCCCACTCATGGGCACTCACGACTCACTCTTGACGCGCGAATGACTGGCTGACCGAGCCTTTATAGCTCGGAAGCGCACCCCCTTTTCTGCTCATGACTCAGCAAGACACAGCGACCCGCCTCGAGCTCGTAGCCAAGCTCGCCATCACCCGCCGAGCGAGGCACAGCAGCACCCACCTCTGCTCCGTCTGCGAGCGGAAACGTCGATTGAGTTGAGACCGCACGCTGCACCACCATCCTTCGACATTACACAGGCGGCAACATGTCGTCGGTGACGGATCATTCGCCTCCTTCGTTCTATGCAGTCTACCTGCTGCGCTCTCTAGCTTCGTCCAACTCCACCAAGACCTACATTGGTTCCTCTCCCGATCCAGCGAGGCGCAAGAGGCAACACAATGGACAATTGACAGGCGGTGCATGGAAGACGCGCACTGGAAGACCTTGGGAGACTGTGGCTGTGGTTTGGGGATTCGGAAGCAAGATTGCTGCCCTTCAAGTGAGCCTGAAATGATTGATCGGGGGGGAAGGAGGGTGCTGTGTACGAGGTTGTTGAAGGATGCACTTGCGCTGTGTGTGAATGGCTCACGAATGCTCCTCTCCACTCATTCCCGGCCCCGCCCTCTGCGTGTATGCGCTCAAAGTTCGAGTGGGCATGGCAGAAACCTCACCTCTCGAGGCATCTTCGCTCTCGCCTGCCCGTCAATCACACCAACGATGGCGCTGAAAGCAGCACGTCCGTCCATGGGCGCACCGCTGCGCACACAGTCACGTCCAGCATCAACACCATCTCCGTCCCGCTGTTTCCTGTCAGTTCTCGAAGCACAACAGCGCCCATGTCCAATGGCAAGCCGTACCTGAGCGCAGGAGGCGCACCAGCAAGACTCTTGGTACTAGACGCCTTGATCCGATCGGAACCTTTTGCGCATTGGGGATTGCGCATCACCTTCTTCGACGAGTGGGCATGGGGAGCATGGAGGGGATTGCAGAGACAGCCTAGATGCGAACCCGCAGAGACCGGCAATTCAGTCTTGTCGGAACACGCCGACCAGGCACAATTATCAAGAGGAGGGAGGAGGATGCCTCCGGATGACTTGGTGGGCGTCACGACAGATTTCAGGGGAGTGGATGGCGCGAGAAAATGCTTGACTTTGCTCGATGAGGATGCCCGCAAAGCGCTCAAGCTGCCAGAAGGCTCTGAAGAAGACAGGAGCATCTCGGGCGCTCTAGGCCCACAACGAGAAGTCTTCGAGCCAACAGCTACGGTTAGGGACAAGGGCAAAGGTAAATCGAAGGTTGCGTCGTTCGGCGCAGCCGATGTATGGAATCAGGATATGCCTGGTTTCGCCCGTTTGCCCGGTCACTGGACCCGCGCACTTCCACGAAGCGCAAACGCAAAGGCTGTGCGTCTTACGTGGAGGGACATCCACTGTGCTCCTCGTCAGCCTCTTTTCCCAGAGATTGCGCCAGCTGCGAGCTTCTCAGAAGGATTGCAAGGTTTCGAACAAGCTGGCGGGCCGTCAGCATCGGCATGGGCATTGCCAGGCGGTGCAACACAACAACTCCCGTTTAGATGTGACGATGGTGGGTTGCTAGAGACTCGGACGCGCTTGTCTGCTACCGAGCCTCACTCTTGCTTCACCGCGCAACAGACGACCTCTCCGAGATAGCATACGAGCGGCTGCAGCATCTGCTTCGACGGACCGGCTCGTCGCTGCAGATATACGCCGAGGGTCGAGAGGAAGATGCGATGAGGCCGGACATCGTCGACGCGTCTTCTGTGACCTGCTCTTTGTGCAGAGATCCGGTGGATTTGAGAGTGAGTGTGCGAGGCGAATTGTGGGCCAAATCTTGCTGGGGATCTCGGCATCCTGTGTCCACAATGGAGCATGTCGGCAACTGGCGACAGGCATCTGCGTGTCATCCACTCTCCAAGACTGACGCAGTCTGCTCCTGCGCGCACGTCAGGATCACCTCTCTTATGCTCTATGTCCCGCACCGATGACGGAGATCCGACCCATCAGTCCACACTGGTCGGCTCTGAGCAAGAGAAGCACACTCGCGAGGCCAGCACGTTCCGAGCACTGCGATTCGGTCTTTCACTTGCCTTGTCTTGCGCAAGATTGGTTGAGGAGAGTTGCAGAGCGCCAATCGAGCTGCCGCGCCAACGACGAAGAGGTGCGAGGGCTGGAGGTGGAGGGGGCATTTTTGTTGCCCACTCATGGAAGATGTCCAACCTGCTCCAAAGCACTCGGTCGGAGCCCTGCGAGCGAAGGGCATTCTCGCGATTCGGGCCAAACATCGCGGGACACGTTGTGGAGCGAAGTGGTGAAGAGCACGTTTAGGCGGAAAGAGCTAGCTATCGCCAAGCTGGCCAAGATGCGAAAAGACGCGTCGAAAGCTCAGAAGACTCAGGCTGCTCTTCTTGAGAAGGCCAGAGCGGGCAAGAGAAGGAAGAAGGGAAGCGCGGCGGAGGGGACTTTTGATGTGCGCTCGGACACGGGCAGCATGGACGATGCAGGACTTTTACGGAGGCTGGATCGACTAGCACACGCCACAGCCGGCAAGTCTGGCAAATCTGGAAATGCGCGTAGCGGTACGAGCGTCGCAGCTGACCGCCTAGCTACGGTCAAGCAAGGTGGCGGCGATTGGCAAGGCACTTCGACGTCAGAAGGCGTCGATGATCCTGTCGCTACCGCAGCTCTGCAAGGCGCGCTCTCGGCAGAAGAAGCTGTCCATATGCAGATGGACGCTACGCAAAGTGCGCGACCGAGACCCAAGCCGCAATTTCGTTCGAACAGGGAGCTCGTCGACCCTTTTCATCTGTCCTGCCCATCGCCCTCGTGCTCGTCGGGCGCCATGTCCAATCAACTCCCCTCGTCCCGCCCAGAGCGTCCTCATCGCTCGAATTCCGTCTCGTGCGAATCGAGCGGGGTCGGTGTGCATGCTCTGCGCGCGTATGGATCCGATGGTCGCGCAATCAAGGACAAGGACAGATCACTGGCGCTCTCGCTCTTGCCAGCGCTAGACGAGCTCACCAATGCTTCTTCCTTTTGCGATACCGTCGAGGGTATGCGCATCAGCAGCAGCAGCAGAGGTTGCGAGGCAATAGCAGCAGCGGAGCGAGGGCGAGGGGATGATGGGCGAGAAATGTGGAGGAGGATGAGAAAGGTTGAGAGTGGTGAGGTGGCATCGTCATCGTCATCGTTGGGAAGAAGGAGGATGTTGGAAAGGACCACTTCGGCACCATCGAGCGCACCTCGACGCGATGCTCCTGCGGTCGATATCATCGATTTGACCTGATCCGATATATATATGTATATTTTGTTTCCACTGCGGGAGGCAAACGAATCTATTCCTCTCATCTTTTGATTACAAATCCAAGCTGCTGCTCGATGCGCCCCTGCTCTCTTCTCACATTCCCCCTCACGAGGCCCTCGCATCTCGCTGCCCGGCGTATACGTTACGTAGTTTCCCCTGAAACGTTCATGAAGGATGCAAGGCCATTAGCGTCTGTCCGGGGAAAAACAGGATGACATTTGTGATTGATAGACGCGGGCGCCAAGTCTTCGCAAAAACGCGCCGCTCTGCGCGCACGCAGCGCAACTTTTTGATTTTGGGTTTGTCGAAGCATGGGCGCTGCATGAGCGCCACAAATCTAGACGATTGGGGGAAAATCACAAAATTGTGTGGGGGGGGATGGGGGGGGGGGAAGTAGGGCAAAGCGAGAGCGTGGGGGGGAAGGGTGTGCGACGGCGATGAGATCGCGCGTACTCGAGCTTCGGGAGTGTGTACTTTTGCGCGCACGCGAGTGCAAAAACGACGAGCAGTGTGCAATGGGCAAGGAAGGAAAAGGCGGGGAGGGGCGAAATCACCGCATAGCCCTAGTGCGCCTCTGACTCCTATACCACAGCCAGCGCCTATCGCAAATCCATCTCTGCTCGAATCAAACACTCCCCGCGTCGACGGCCATCACGCACACCGGCACCTCGCGTCGACTCTCACCGCTCCGTGGCAGACGTGCATCCAAACAGGGTTCTAGCGTGGCGCAGCGCTCCCAACCACCCGCGCCCGAATCCTCTCGCATCGCGCCCGCTCAACGACGGCCCATCTTGATGATACCAGCATTGACCAGCGTCTGAATTTTCCTCGCAATGTTGGGATTGCGCATGTGTTCTTGCAGAGCGGCCGGCTGCGAAACGTAGAAAAGAGTTCGAGGTGGAGAGTTACGCACCTTGTCAGCTCCAGTTCGCGTACGTCGATCTGTGAAGCTTATCCGCGCCGCGTCGAACTCACGTTGCTTTGAGCTTGATCAAGCACCGATCTCATCACGGGATCCTGCAAGATGCTCTGCACCTCCGGGTCGTTTTGCGCTCTAGCCAGCGTCTCCTCTTCCGTCTCGTTAGCTCTCTGCTCATATATAGCTCTGCTAATCTTGCTCTCCAACTCATTGATCTCCCTCTCATGTTTTCTCGTCCCTCCTTCTCCCTGATCAAACTCTGATGCTTTGGAAACCTCTTCGAGCGCCTTGTTGTACTGCTTCATGCCCAGTTGAGCCGACGCTTTGCGCAGGTGCGCCTTGACGGAGTTGGGCTCGAGAGATAGCGCGCTGTCGCCGTCCTTGAGAGCTTCCGGAAAGGCCATCAAGCGAAGGTAAGAAGAGGCTCTGTTGGTGTACCCGCGCGAATCCGAGGGGTTTCGCTTGATCGATTCGGTCTGAGAAGGGAGAGCGCCACAAGGATATGTGAGGGTCAGCCGTGCAAGGCGTCGACGCAGGGTGGCTGTCTGAGAGGGAGAAAGAAAGGCGACCTCTCCACCTCCAACTCACGTAAGCAGCAACGGATCCAGCAAAGTCTCCCTTCTTGAACAGCTCATTGCCCCGCGCGCGTTCCTCCTCTGCCTTGGACGGGTCGATGTACGCTTGCTTCTCCTTTTCCTTTAGCAGCTTCTCCGTAGATTGCAGCTTAGCGAGCGTATCCGCCGTCCTGTGTTCCGTCAAGCTCTTTTCGAAGAACTTGATGGCATTCTGCAAATCTTCCTTTTTGAGGTAAGAATTGCCGATGCGTGTGTAAGCTTTGGCAATGAGCTTGTAGTCCGTCTTGTACTCTCTAGACGCCTCGATGGCTTCTTGACACGTCGCGATGGCCTCGTCGTAGCTGGCCTTTTCGTACTGACAGGCAGCAAGGTTGGTCAAGTAGCTGACATCCTTGTGGAGTTCCCAAGCCTGCTTGAACTCCGCGATGGCGTCGACAAATTGCCTCTTGAGGTACAATGCCGATCCCCTAGCCTTGGCCTCATCTGCGGCCTTTTTCGCCTTGGCTTCCTCGCTGTCGATGGGTGCAGCAGCGGCTGCCGCCGCCGCAGCGGCTTCCTCTTCAGCAATCTTCTTATCCTGCGCAGCCTTTGTCGCTCTGCGCTTCTCGTTCTCCCTTTGAGCCTCCTGCTCAGCTTCTTCCCTATCGCGTCGACGTTGAAGCTCCTCGGGACCTTCGTTGGAACCTTCGGGTCTTTGAAAAGCTTTGAGATCAATGCCCATCAAGACGCCCATCACTTCCACCATGCGAGAGTCGCTAAAGGCATCTTGAGGACTACCCCTGCCGGATTGGAGCTCTTTCAGCTTGGACACAAAGGAAGGATCAGCGAGCATGCGCTTGGTGCTCTCATTCGCTTCCAGCTTCTCGAACAGTTTGGCGTCCCTAAACATATTGTCCAGTCCTGCACCCGCATCTCCCCGAGACGATTCTGAGGGGGCGGCCGCGGCGCGTGGGGAAAAGGGGGGAATAGCGCATGAAAAGGGAGTGTGTGAGTGTGAGGCGGATGCAGGTGTTGAAGAAGGCACCGCATGGCAGCGCGCGGGGCTCACCCTTTGCTCTCTTGACATCCTCCAAGCCTCGCTGGAGCGCAGCGTCTTGCGGGTTGATCTGCAAACCCTCTCCATACGCATTGATGCTCTCATCGTACAGCTCGGCACCGTGCAGCGCTCCACCTTTGCGCAGGTAACCTTTGGCAAAGGAAGGATCAGCCTTGATCGTAGCTTCAGCATCCTCCAGCGCCTTGTCCCACTGCCTCAAACCCGAATGGCATGCGCTGCGATTAGAGTAGAGAATGTGAACGCTGTCCGAGGGTGAGACGTCGATGGCGGAAGTGTAGTGCTGGATGGCCGCTGCGTAATCCTTCTTGGCAAAGGCGGCGTTGCCTTGCGCTTTGAGCTCTGCTGCGGACATGCTTGCTCAGTCTGCGCGGTCGAATGAAGGTTACAGCGAGAGTGGGATGCGCTGTATGCGGGCGTGTGTGTGTGTGTGTGTGTGTGTGTGTGTGTGTGTGTGTGTGTGTGGGTGTGTGGGTGTGAGGGCGTATGTGTGGGATGTGTGTATGCGTATGCTCAACGCCTGATAGGGGAATGGTGTGCGTATACAATGTTCAAGCTGCCCGAATCAAATCAAAAACGGAAGTCGTGCTTGCGTACATCGTGAATAGAAAGAATTAAGCAGGCTATACGTACTCGTCGTGACCATGGATTGCATGGGGCGGGCGGGCGAGCATATATGCAGCCTTCGCATCCAATATTCACGATTGTGATCGCAACGCGTGCTGCTGCTGCTGCTGCTGCTAGACGTCTCCACACGCTTCTACTTGCTTCGCGCGCGAGCAGCAGAAGAGGCAGGCAGGCAGGCAGGCAGGCAGGCAGGAGTACGTGCGTGCGTGCGTGCGTGCGACTGGCCGCACTTCGGCCGATGGATGCCGAAATCAATCGACATCACGTGATCGATGCGAGGCTCCAAGAAATCTTGAATTGAATCAAATTCAAAATTCCCATGACTTGACTCGCTCAAAACTTTGACTCACGCGCACCGCTGCAAGAGTCACAGTCACAGTCGTGACTCGTAGCTTGACCCTAGCTGCCTGATGGGTGTTGTCGGACGCGCGAAGCCCAGCAAGCAAGCAAGCAAGCAAGCAAGCAAGCAAGCAAGCAGCCCTTTTTTGGTGTGTCGAGCGAGGCGCGCGGCTCGTGCGCAGAGCAGACCTGCAATAAGTACGCTCATCACCACTCACATCCAAGCGATGCTGCAGGCAAGGAACCAAGGAAGAAAGGGAAGAGTTTCTTTTCAAATAGGCTTGGCTCAAGAGGCATTCAGATTCACATTGTTGGAAAGCATTTATAGGGAAAGCGCAAGGCAAACAAACGTACAAGAATAGGGAAAGCGCAGAAGCAAGAAGAGAAGGCGGCTTCGAGAGGGACAAAGGACAAAAGGGCGGGGGGTCGAACAGGCATCAGCTAGCCCGACGAGTTCCGAGTAGTCACAGTTGGAATTGCAGCAGCTGCTGGTGCAAGTCAAGTCACAGTCCCAGCAGCCATCCTGCGCGCGGCGCAAATTGCTTCGTTTGGGCTGATCTTCAAGGGCAGAAGTACAGTCAGGGGGGGGGGAGGAAGTTGGGGAACGTGAATTTGGATGATCCGTCGACTTCCACGACCCGGTTTTCTTTTTCAAGTCATGCGCTCCAATCCGGTTCCGGTGCGATTGCGGCTGATGCAACGGTCGCCGAGCGTATGGACGCCGTGCCAACGCTTCCCTCGTCGTAGCCTTTCATTCGCATCCTCTTCTTCATCCAAAGACACACCACGCACCATGCGTCTAGCCATCATCGGATCCGGACCTTCCGCCTTTTACGCCGCTGCGAGAATCTTGTCTTCAGAGATTGGCAATGTGCAGGTGGACATGTACGAGAGGTTGCCCGTGCCTCATGGACTTGTCAGGTGGGGTGTCGCGCCTGATCATCCTGATGTCAAGGTGAGTCCGCGAGTGAGAGTTGGGGTTTAGTGTAGAGACTGTTGCGGATGGAGGTGGATCTTTGCTCTTGCTTCCTTGATGGGTGTGCTCCAGCACTTCGCAGCTGCCTATTGCCTTCCATGCGCGCTCTTACGCATTTCCTGTCTTGCCTGCCCGCGTGCCTGCCTGCTTGCTTGCCTGGAAGAATGTGGAACATCGCTTCGCAGAGGTGGCCAAAGATCCGCGCTTCAATTTCTATGGAAACGTCAACATCGTCTCGCAAGGGGGAGGAAATCCTCGCAGCAGCATGAGCAGCGATGCGGTCCTCTTATCCGAAGCTGACGCGCTGGAGAGTTACCCTTCAGCAATCCACTTGCCCATCGAGTCCATCTTGCCTCACTACAACTCCCTCTTGCTAGCCTACGGCTCTACGCGTAGTCGCTCGCTAGGCATCCCAGGCTCCCCGGACATTTTCGGAAGAGGAGGTCTGCGCAATGTTCATTCCAGCTTGGACTTTGTGCACTGGTACAATGGACACCCTGCTGCGCACGATGTCTCGATAGGCGGCGGAGGAAGCAGCAGCGGCGCCAAGCACATGGATTTGACGGGTGTGCAAAAGCTGTCCATCATCGGAGCTGGAAATGTGGCGTTGGATGTGGCTAGGATCGTACTTCGTGCTCCCACCGCTCTGAGCATTGCCGGATCTTCCGAAAAGACCAGCGATCCGACCATCGATGCGCATTCCAATCCAGGCAAGGAACTCGTACCCTTGCGCAAGTCGGACATTCCCGAACCGGTCCTTGCGCATCTCAGTTCCAGCCGCGTGAGAAAGGTGGACATCTTTGCGCGCAGAGGTCCAGCTCAGTTGGCATGCACCACAAAGGAGTTGAGGGAAATGATGACGCTTTGGAGCAATGCCGAGACTGCTCACGTCAGGTTTGAAGGGGTGAGGGAGAAGGATAAGCTGAGGGGTCTAGAGGGACTTCAAGCGTTGCAGAGGAGCTCGAGTCCAGAGTACAGAGCGAAAAAGAGAATGTTGGAATTGCTTTGGGCGGATGAGGCTAGCAAGAGTCGAACGAGCAAGAAGAAGAGCTTCAAGGTGCCAAAGAATGAGCAGCAGGCTCTTCATATGCCTTCATCACCAACACATCAAGATCCGCACTCGGCACCGACGCAAGCCGCTTCGCAGTGGGCCTTGAACTTTTGGCACACTCCGAAAAGCTTCGAGTCTAGATTGGATGCCGAGGATAGGGTTGGCAGCATCCGCTTCAGCGTTGGGGATGGGCAAAAAGAAGTGCCTAAAGACATCAGCACAGACTTTGTCGTCACTAGTGTTGGGTACTTGGGAGCCCCGCTGCTGCGGAAGGGCAAGTCTGAGGGAGACGATGCAGAACGAAGCTCCTCCATCATCCCTTGGGATTCTAGGAAGGGTGTAGTACCCAATGAAGGCGGTCGGGTTGTGCGTCCTGCTGTGGATGGCAGCAAGGTGAGCCAGGCTCGGGAGCAGGCGCAACAACAGGAACGAGAGAAGGTTCGTGCGCGCTGACCATTCACCGTACTCCCCCGCGTCGGATGAATTTTTTTTTTTCATCCCCTCACAGATCGTCCCGGGTCTATACGTATCGGGCTGGCTGGCTCGAGGACCTGTGGGAGTGATAGCTTCTACGATGTACGACGCCAACAGCGTAGCGGATCTGATCCTTTCCGATTGGGCTCAACGTCTCTCTTCTGCCCACGACTCCGACGCTACATCGCCCGACTCGCTGCTCGCTGCACCCGGCCAACAAGCTCCGGACTTGCCAAGGGAGCTGAGAGAAAGTAGTAGACCCTTTGTGGATTGGAATGGGTGGCAGAGGATAGATGGGGAAGAATTGAGAAGAGGTCAAGAGCTGGGCAAGTTGAGGGAAAAGATTTTGAGTGAGTAGGATCAAGTGCGGGATCGCCCGGGGGGGCCCCCCAAGATGTGTGAAGCGCTAGATAGCTTTTTTTTTTTGGGGGGGGGGGGGGGGGGGGGGGGGGCATGCAGACTCTGGCTGACTTTTGCCTTGTTGCGCTTCGGCTGGTGCAGCGGTGGACGAGATGCTCAGGGTAGCAGTGCAATAGATTCGATTTGCTACTACGATTGGTCATGAGCGCTCGGGGGGCCGGTGTTTGACTCGCTGCGGCAATGCTTCCAAAAAGGTGGCCCCATCGACGGATAGGAAAGAGTGTGGTGATGCGATTACACGGACATGGCGAGCTCAGATGAGCGGGGGTGGAGTCGAAGCGTGTGCCCCTCGGGCCTGGCGCTCGAGGGTATACTGCTCGATTACTCGAGCACGATCGAATTGCCTTGTTCGAGTGGGCTTTGCACGATGAAAAGTGGGGCTCTGGGCCCCCTCTTGCGAGCTGGCAAGATCAAGATCGATTGGTAGATCCAGGAGGCGCAATAGCTCCGACGTCCTGCATGCAAGCGCTCATCGTTCCGAGCGCACCCGTCTGCACCCCAAGGGCGCCATCCGAGGTGGCGACGGTGGCAGCAACCGCGACTTCTTGCTGTTGCTGGTGTTGTTGCTGAAGCATCAGAGCTCTGACCTCTTCTTGGTTCGTCAGACGATGGAAGAAGGAACGTTGTGTCGCGGCGCTCCGGTGCGTCCCGTTGGTCATGGGAGCCAAGGGCAATCCTAGCGAAAGGGCCGAAAAATTGGGTCCGGCTAGCAGCGAACGAGGATAATCGTTGATGTTGAGAACAACAGCTTGACCAGACTGCACAGCTTCGGTCTGGGCCGCATCGGAGGGATTGTACACCTGAACAGAAGGTGGAGCTTGCATACCTGCGCTCGAGGCTTCGCGAAGAGCTTGCTGCTTCGTGCACGCTTCGGCTGCTGCTTTTGTGTCGAGGTAGAAGATGAGGTTGCCATTCCACTGCAGAGCTTGCTTGTACACCTTGCTGAACAGGTCTTTGGGCGGTGCTGTAGAGGGATCGACCGAATCGGCATCTTGCCCTGCAACAATGAGCTTCGGAGCGAGCAAACGGTGGACCCCGATCAGCTCCGAGCTTCGAGCTTAGGAGTCTCGAATCGGGTTTATTTGCGGGCCCGAACACGACCGAACTCACCTGATAATCCACAGCGTGCAAAATCTTGTAAAAGACGGCGGCAAAAAGGCTGCCCAGTATCGGTCCTATCCAATAGATCCAGTGATACCTTTCAAACTGTCCAGAGACGACCGAAGGACCAAAAGATCTAGCCGGATTGATGCCGCAGCCCGTCTGAGAGATTCCGAATAGGTGGCACACAAATACGGAAAGGCCTACCCCCAGCGGCGCTAGATGCGTCGATCGATGTTTCTCTGTGCGGCCGATGGAGCATGGGGATGGGGAAAGGTTTGCATTCGTACGCTGCGATCTTGTCGGGGGCCGAAAGCGGAGCACTCGAACTCACCGGCAGCAAGCATGAGAACGGTAAATACCAGTACGGCAGTGAGCAGCGCTTCGGTAAAGAGACCTTGCACCACGCTCACTCCCAGTCCCAAAGCATTCTGCACCATACGAACATCGCCGGGCGTCAGAGCGGACACTAGCGCACTTGCGGTGACGCCTGCAAGGATCTGTGCCAAAGCGAGCATCATTGCTCGCACAGCTCCCACGCAGCCACAGATCCACAGGGCGAGGGTGACGGCGGGATTGAAGAGTCCGCCTGGAGCGTGCACGAGAAGAGCGCATACGGAGTGAGCCTTGTGACAAAGAACGGCTTGCTCGCGTCCAGCAGCAGCAGCAGCAGCAGTCCAGCAGGCATGCACTAACCAGTGACGCGGTAGAAGGACCAGACGGTGACCAGCAGAGCCAAGCCAAAGCTGACGGAAATGAACATGATGGTCTGCTCGCGCGCGTGGTGAAGGTGTCGGCGAACGGTGGTCAATGTTTACGTGATTCGGTGGTAAAGATGTACGCAGGTGGGGCCTTGCAGAGGCATGTAACTCACCGCATTGTCGGGAGCAGCTGACGACTGTGCATTTTGCGCAGACAGCGCAGTCTTGGCTCCTCCGAGGGCCAGGACTGATGGGGCGCGGGGGACGGGGGGAAGGAGATGGCGAGAGCAAGATGTTTGGGGAAATGTCAGCTTTTCTTCATCAGCAATCCTGGCAAGCATGAGCGTAAGAAAAGGCGAAAGACTGACAAAGAAAAGCGCAAGTTCCGACGAATTCGCCCATGGCCGCGAGCGCATCCCTCTTGAGAGAGTGGAGCAGAGAAGAGCTGCTGCTGCTGCTGCTGCTGCTGTTGGCATGGACCAGCAGCTGTGGCGTTTGGGAGTTGTTGTTGGGAACGCAACTTTTGCAAGTGTTGGGCAAAGGCAGGGTGCTGCTCGATTCGCAGCTGGGAGTGAGAGGCTGCATCGCAGTCCGAACCTGACCGAAGGGGTGTCGCACAGTAAAAAGCAGAGGAGCGGGAGGGATGGGTGGCAAACTGAGAGCAAAAGAGCGTGGCGTGGGGGAGGCAGCGCAGGGTGGAAGTGGAACAGAGCCGGGAAAAAGAGCGCAAAGGAGTGGTGAGAGGAGAGGAGAGGAGGGAGGAGATGAGGATGATGGATGATGGAGAAGCAAGCATACTCTACAGTATTTGTACGCCCACGCCCCTCCCCACCCTTTGCCGAAGCGTGCGAATGCGGTCCAACATCCTTTCCCGTCATCTTTCTTCGATGGGCCATCTTCACCGACTTCTCCTTGTGTTCGGTGCAGCGCAACATGCACAGCTCTGTCAGCGGGCGAGCAGGAAGGGCCTGGCTGGACAAGTAGCTGAGCTCAGGTCAAGAGTGGATGTTGACGGTCGAAATCGAAAAATTGCTTGATCAAATGGCTGCCAACGGCTCCAAAAAAAGCTGGAACGTGTCGTCCCAACGGCCCGCGCTCGCTTCAACGGCTCCTTAGCTTCAACCCCGCACCTCCCTCGCCACATTTCCCTCTTGATCTCGGGCCCATATCGCGCGCGCGCTGAAATCTCTTTTTTCTTCCCAGGGAAATCATGTCCCACAGCCATCGCATTCCGCTTAGCAACTGCAACTTTGGGCCCCGCCCTCCGTGTCTTTCTTGTCTGCGTTGACGCCCCCCCCCCCTCCCCCCTCCCCCCCTCGTGCTGCTTGGATGTCGATGTGATGGTGTTGGTGTTGCGCCGAGGTCCAAGTACAACGCATGCATGCAGGGCCAGGCAGACGCGCCGCTGCTGCACGGGAAAGGCAGCGAGCGAGCCGTTGAGTTTGATCCTTTTGGGCAGGCGCGAGGCGATGCATCACGTGATGAGTCCTTCGAGGTTGGTTTCATTTTGGTGTCATGATGAGTCTCATGTACATTCAAGATTTGATTACCGGTACTCAAGTCGTGAGTCTATCGCGCATATCGGCCCCGGCCCGATCTTTCAGGGTGTTCGACTTCAACAAGAAATATTGGAAATTAAACTTGAAATGAGTGAGATCATTAAAAGTCAGCAGGGTCCATGCATGCATGCATTCAAATTGCATGCATATTTGCAATCTATATACGCATATATCACATGCGCACCCGCGGCGTCTCGGCGCTCGATTCGAGCCTCGCCCGCCGGCCGGTGTGGAGGCGGAAAGGCGGGGCGCGCGCCGCGTCCACGAGCGCGGGTGAGTGTGCCTGGCATGCATGCGTGAGTGAGTTGCATGAGGGCGCGCGATGATGTGCGTGCGGTGCCGGCCGGGCAAAGCTTTCCGGTGCAGCAGGCAGGCCAATGAACGAAGATCGTGAACGCGCAATCAGGATCGATCGAATCACGAATGCATGGCGGCGGCGGGGAAATCATCCCTCTCCATTCCAACTTTTTGTGGTGAAACAAGATATGGGTTTCACAAGGTTTCCACATTCAAGGAACTCTATATACACGCAACGCACCGCAACGCACCGCTTCATTGTTCTCACCTGCATCATTCACCATCCGCACTGACCCGACCCGACTCACGATACGCAACACCCAACACCCAACACGCGACTCGCGACTCGCGACTCGCAACTCGCAATTCACCCTTTTGCCTCCACTCGCTCCTACCTGCCCTAGCAGAGCCCATCGCTGCTCTGCCCCTCGCATCTCGCGCACGCAGAGACGGAGCACAACACAGTCACCGTGGCAAAGAGGGGGGGGGAGGGGCCATTGGACCGCAGTCACTTCTCCGATAACAATACAAACCCCCCTCCCCGCCCCCGCGCACACTCATGATGACGCAGACACCGTCGAGGGGGAATAGTGGTGGTGCAGCAGCAGCAGCAGATCAGAATGCGAATGAAGGTGATGCTGTTGCTGCTGCTACTGCGGCGGCGCCGGCGGCGCCGGCGGAAGGGGCTGCAAGCGAAAGGATGCGTGGGCACGATTCGCCTTCGCTCGAGGTGACTGAGACAGCGACGGCGACGGCGACGATGACGGGCACGCGCGAAGCCCGCACGTCGCCTGCAGATGCGCAAGCGGAGCAAACAACAGAGACTCGCAATGGCAATGGCAATGGCAATGGCAATGCGCAAACGTCGAAGAAGATCGTAGCTGAAGGCGAGGGAGGGCAGCAACGGCAGCAGCAGCAGCAGCAGCATGCTGATGCAACTGATCAACCCGCCACCACGGCCAGCGCCAGCGCTCCCGCGTCGCGCTTGCCCACCTCGGAAGCGGATGCGGAGAGATTGCTGCGCATTCCTCGAAGAAGCATTCGCATGCCAAATGGTAACGCTGCTGCTGCTGCTGCTGCTACTCAGAAGCAGCAGCAGCAGACGAACAAAGACGACGTCGGCGGGGCGGCGGCGGCGGTGGTGGCGGCATGGGGCTCGCCGGATATTCTATCCGGCATCGTTCTGCCCGATGCCTCCTCTCCCTTGCGCGGCTCGTGGATTCCTCAAGGCATGACGTGCGCAGGCAGAGAATTCTGGTATCTGCTAGTGATGCAGGGCGTGGGTGCGGCGTTGATATCGGGAGCGATCAATTTCGGCATTGCGGTAGCGTGCTACAAGCATCAAGTAGGCACGCGCATCTGGCCATTCGAACCTTTGACCGTCGCTGGTGATATGGGCGTGACGGTGATCATTCAACAAGTCGTCTCTATGCTCATCACCAGCGCACTGGTCCATGCAGACGTCAACGGTGGACCCGTCGCTCCGCTCTCCCAACCCTGGCCTCCGCTTCTGCACCTGCCCAGCTCTCCCACTCCTTCTCCAAGCATCTGGGGCACGGGCACGGGCACGGGCGCCAGCAGCGCGGGTACTGGCAATGGGAAATCTTTGGAGATGGGCAAAGCGACAGGAAAGAGCAAAGCGACTTGCTGCTTCTGGTGGGCCATACGCAGCATCTGCACAGGTTCCGAGCGCGACAATTGGACGCAGCGCGGCTTGAGCCTGAGCGCGCGCACGCAGCGCGTGCTCTGGTGCGCAGCGCACGGTCTCTTCCTCTGCGCCCTGCTCACTTTCTGGTGGTACTGGCCCATAGCCATCGCCATCGTTGCGCCCATCTACCAGCACAAGGATTTGGGCATCGGAGGATCGGGAAACGGCTGGACGCCTTGCTTTATAAAGCTCCTCTTTGGCGCTCTGCTCGCCATGCTCACCAACCCCTTCATGGCGCTGCTGGCCATGGGCGCAGAGTACAATGTGAGGAGAGCATATCCCGATAACCCTCTTTTCCTCGCTCAACCGTGGGGAGAAGAGAATCTCAAAAGGTGGAAGAAGGAATTGGGCTTGGGCTTGTAGGCGCCCGTGGGCGAAGAACGCGGATTGGATTGGATTGGATTGGATCAGCCCCCCTCCCCCCGCCCCCGCCGCGCATGATTTATCCCTGCGAACCTCAGCTTCCAAGGACTTTTGCATCTCTCTTCCATTGCTATTACTCCCCCCTAGTCCCTCCTCG